TTCAATTAAACATTCAAACCGATTCCAACCGAACCGAAACCTCACTGTAATTATGTCATATGTCCGTTTGATGTAGAATGTAGAACATCAGTGGAACCTTTTGATGGTACAACCCCTCGGCCTCATGGGTCGTATACTTCGTTTCACAGAACAACCGACGAGGTCCCGTTGCCGCGCCCAGAAGACGCCTCCTTCCGCTTCCGCTGCAGCCGCACGCCGCGCTTCTTCGCCTCCTGGCGCGACCCACCGGGAGTGGCCGATGAGTTGGAAGCGAAGAACCGAAAAAACAGAGATGAATGGGTGGGACACGCTCACTTCTGATTCTTTCGAAAAAATTCCAGAGAGACCAACTGGGAGACTCGGTCAAGCTGGTCGGCCACAGACTGCCAATGGCGGCAGTGCGAGAGAATCCGCGTTGTTTAGGCGGAGAGAGTATACGGGACGAAGCCGATAGAAACCACTAAGGAGTGGACACTGGTTTGTGGCAAGTGTTAGGCCCGACAAAGTTATATAGCAAGAGGTGCCCCAGACTGGATTGCCTGCTTGTTGACGGTCTCTTCTATTATCAAGATTGAAACTCGAGGGGGGTTGGATGGTGTGCACCAAACCTGGGCTTCAACAATATCACCTGCAAAATGGTTTGGATTCACAGGCATCAAACTTCAACTAGCAGCTAGCAGACACACCTGGTCTCATAGAGATGCTTGAATTTCTGCGGATCCCATCTGCAAATCCATCTCCGCGGCCCCGAACTCACCTGCAACCTTCCCATCTGGCGCAATTCTGTGCCTGGTGAAGGCGTTCCCCAAACTCAGGAGGTGAAGCCACCGCCTTGTGGATGCAATCCTTCTGAAACGCCTCACCGGGCTGGTAACCGCATTGGGTCCAACGGAAGACCCCGGGGGAGTCAACCCACTCGTTGTGGTCCGGGAGCCGTACGCGAAGGTCGAACCGTTCGGAGACAACCCTGTCGGGGAGAGGGTGGAACAGACGGCATGTTCAGTGCACCCTTTGGGCATGAACATGCGCCCGAGCATCAAAGCGCGTGAACATGTGCGTGAACAATCCGACCAACGCGGCGTGACCTCGGTTCTGTTTGAATGATTGAACAACAAACGGCATTTTTTGGAACAAAGCCAAGTTGGGTTGAAGTCTGCGGGGGTGTGACCTTGGTTCAGTCTGTCCGACAATCGTCCGAGCGGCTTTGCGAGTCGGTGCGATTGACCGTTAAAGGGTTTGCCGGTATTCACAGGCTTGGCGGACGAATAGAGCGAAGTCAACAGTCTTTGCACTAGGTCCTATGTGCATAACAGGTCCTATTTACAAGTCTTTGCACTTGCTTGGATTCATAGGGCTTTGTCTCCAACTCTTTGTCTGAGAGTCACGAAACACGTGAAAACCGAATCTGATCGGCCTCGAGCTCCTTCTGGAGCACTGCTTCACCTGACACCAACGGGGACTCCAAACTGTCAAGGGAGGGAATATATATATATATATGTGTGTGTCGGTTCAGAGTACCCATGCAGTTTTCATATGTTTTTGTATCATCTTTGAAACCACACGTTCACGATCATGTCTTAATACTTGCAACGCTCTCGTTGTTGTGCTGGAATTTTGGTGCAATTGCGAGGATGAAGTCCTCTGCCAAACCTATAGGGTTCTGTCCACCCACACGCATGATGTTGCTATATGTTGCTAGTTGCATCATCTGTTGGCGTCCCCCAACCGTGCTGGGCTGTTGTGACAAGGCAGATAGGAGTCAACCAGGCACAAACCCAGCGCGAACGACACCTGTCCAATGCAAACACTCGTGGCTGACAACAAACTGGCTTGTGATTGAAAGGTGGGAAGGAACTTCACAATTACTCACTTGCTACAGTAGGTCCTCTGTATAGGTCCTGATCTTCGCGGCTCTGGGGAGCTGTTGTAGAAAAGCATGTTTTCGCGCCAAATGCAAAAGAGAAACACGAAAACAGCTTTCAAGTATCCAACATTCTGGATGAGACCACCGCGTGGTCTCATGGCACTTGCGGCCAAGTGGCACTTCTGTTGCAAGCGCTCCGCACGCTTCTGAGCGTCCTCGAAGAGCTTCTGAGAGGACTCCAGGGCCTTGACCAGTGCGGGGTCAGCTGGTCAGCTGGTCCTGAAAGTACCTTGGGGCACCCAAATACCTATGAAGTTGGAGTTGAAGTAGACATGGAATTAAAGCTGTATTGTATAATTTTCATAGTAACTTAACAGTTGAAGTAGACAGTTGAGGTAGTAACAGATTGGCAACAAAGCAATCTTGGCGTGCCTAAGAATCATCGAACGACCTCGCCCAATGTTCGGCACGAAGTCCTTTACGAAGTCGCTTTTCTCGGCCAGAGTCTGACGTATTGACTTTGCTTATTTCTCCCTACACTCCCGAAAACTAACATGGACCCTGAAAACCACTGGTTGGTAGAGGAAAACAATCTTCCAGGTTACCATTGTCGGGGTCTATGTTAGTTTTCAGGAGTGTACCCCTTCCAGAAAAAAGAAAACTAGGCCATAGCCCATAGCTATAGCTATCTATAGCTTCCATACTTCTCAAGTTTTGCTGCGCTCATGAGAGCCTTTGATGGTGAAGGTATCATCATAAAATGCTCAGGTGTCGTACTTGTTGAGCTTGAGCCTGGACCTTTCCCAAAGAAAGTGGTACTTTGCTCTTGTTGCTTCCGTCAACATCTTCCGCCTTCACAGAGACATTCTTGTGCACGGAGTGCCTCGGAAGCAACATGACATCGCCGCTCCGCTGCCGCTCCGCGCGTTTAGCGAGTCGAGGGGGTGGCTCAAACAGTGTGAAGTGGGTGCCAAACCTGTAACTTGTGCTTGTTGGCCTTGAACAAGCGCTTGGTCATCCATGATCCATGGAGCACTTCATCTTGGTCGGATCGGTGAGCATCAGAACTCGCAGGATGATTTGTTTCGATGAGATAACCCCCTCTTTTGGCAAGCAACATCAACATCCCACTCAAAGATCCACAATTGTGCTTCATTCTACCCTGTGACAATCAAGTGTCGAACAAATTTTCACAGACATGGCTGGGCTTCGAAAAGCTTCTGTCGACGGAACGGATGGAACCGATGCGAAGCGAAAAAAACCCTTCACCTGTGCCCTTCGCACCTGGAACATGGTCTTAACATGCAGATCGATGCTTCCTGCCAGTTCTCCCGTCGTGTTCCGTGAGGTTTTAAGGCCTGAGATCCTCCATTCGCCACTGGTCGTAGGGTCGTCCGCCAAGCGGTCGGCGGCTTCGTTCGGGCTGTGGATCATGCCACTCGGCGGGGGACGGAGGACTTCCGGTTTCCGCCAAGCAACGGTGCCAACAGAACAGGTCACGCGAGGCCAGACATGGTGAAGCTACAAGGGGTTGGTGCCAGGGGTTCCAGGTAGCATGACCCACAGCTCTATAGTGGTCCCAAAGAAAAGGTGACTCGCAGCATCTCGCAGCCACTGATCACTGATCATGGATGGGGCAGGTGGAGGCACTTTTTGGCCAGAAGCCGAACTTCTGGCATGGCACTCATCCAGAGCTTGTGCATCTATTGCAGAGACTCTACAGTCGTCACCGATATGCGAAGGAAACCCCGGGCAAGCTCTCCACCATTTACCCTGCCAAACAAAAAGTTCCGAGGCCGTTTTCAAGGGTGCACATCGTTGCCCGCTCAGATCTCCTCATACCCTTCGAGATGGGCAATTCAGTCAGAGCCCAGCCACTCCGCGAGAATCCTGAGCTCCTGGGAAGATGAGGGCGGACATCGAGCAACACTTCATCCCTGTTGTCACGAAGGAAAGCCACCCTAAGGACCGTAACAATTGTCTTTTTCGGTTGTTCCAATCCCCATGTACACTGAAGTGATTTGCGATGAATTGACAAGTTGGAGACAAGCTATCGCAACAAAAGGAAGCGCAAGGTCCTCTAATTGACGCTTTTAATTCTATTTGAGGTCACTTAGCCCCGCCAACTGGTCACTTCATTCCCCAGATTATAATGACGTTTTCTGCATGTGGATGGGTCTGGTAACCCGACAATGGACTCCAGCTGAAAAAGATTCACTCCTGCATCTGATGAATTCAGAACTTAGCACAAACCACCACTCAAGGTCGAAGGTCTGGCTGCTCAAATCCTTGTCTTTAAGCGCCTTGCTGTCACCGCCTGCACAAAAGAACCCATTTTCTTGGATGAACGCTTTTTGCTTTGACCCTGGCAGTGCAGCATCGCGATGCAATGAACTTGTTCAGAAAAACGCATAGTGCAAAAAACGCCACTCCTCCACCTCCAGCTGCTCTTTCTGAGATTCTCTTTGTGCCATCCTGTAAGGGGTGCCGGCCGGGACTGCCGTCCATCCGCCCGTTCCGTGGTCCTATGATGTCCTATGTGGGTGATGTGTAGCAGCTACACAGAGAGTGAAAATATGAACATCCTTGAAAAGCCTTTGTTCCTAGTAATAGTAGCTTCTTGTTACTAGTAGTAATGGCCTCCAACCTACTAGCGACGGCCTCCAACCTAGTAGCTTCTTGCTACTAATAGTACTCATGAAGGCAGGCAAGCATAGTAACTTAAAGATCTTTTCATGCTGGATTTGCTGCCCCCATTCGCTGACAATGCCTGCCCCTGATCTTCCACGGACCTGTGCCAATGCCCTGCCCTGCAAAAAGTGATGCATGTGTGTGCTTTGAACAGAACCCTTCGGGGTCTAACACAGCGAGGTTGAAGAAACAAAACACATAAAAGTTCCATGTCTGGCCACCTCTCTGTGATCCACTTCGATCGGCTGTTGCCTCACTTTGGGTGCTGAAAGAAAAAGAGCTCCAACAGCTCAACAGGGCGACGGCTCAACCTACTCCCCGAGTCATTGACTTGGAAGTGGAAGGCACCACCTGTTTGGTGTTTGAATGCAATGCACGTTGGCCCATGATCAAGTCATGGGAGTGTACATCTCACAAGTCGGCCAAAGAGGACCCTTCCAACCCTCAAGGCGACAGCTCAACAATGAGAGTCTCGACCCGAAGAGGGTCATGACATGTCATGACATGAACCACCAACCAGACCTTGCAAGGCCTCAACTAGGGGGGCCCCCCTGACACATCGCGGGTCAATGATCAACAGCATTTCAATGCTCAGTGGTCATGGTGTCTCCCAAGATTGGCCACCCCTGCCGTCGTCGCGCGGAGCCAGCGCCACTTCGCGCCGAGCCAGCGCCTCCGGTGGTGATCCTTGTAGAGCTGCGCGATGCGCGCCGTTTGGGTGGCACCCACCTCAGTGGAAGCATCACCACAGCAATCGACAGATTGCCCGAGGAAGGGATCCTGGATAGACTAGACTTTTGATCATCGCATCTCTTGATCTTGAGGAAGGGATCAAAGATCATTGTTCTGTCCCATTCCAGGATTTCCACGTACCCGTTCGGTAGATGATTGTCCTTAGGCAAGGCCATTTGCTCATCTGCTGATCTAGGCAAAAAAACATATACGGATGGTTTTGAGTTGTCTTTGGCTGGTTGTTTGAAAGTTTGCTGGCTAGTTTTTGCTTGGCAGTGTTTTGATTTCTGCAGAGTCTTCACAATGGGTGCTTCAACTTCGAAGAGATACAACTTTCCAATCAAACTGTCCTCGATCGGGGATACTGCAAAAAAAGGCCCCAGTGAAAGAAACACCGCAATAGCTTCACCAGGGAATGAAAATCGTACTTTTAATCATGCGAGTGTCCCCTCTGCATGTGAGGTGTGATTGGCTGTGAAAACAGAACCATGGACCATGGAGCTGTTCCCACAGCCCCGTCTTGCCATGCTTTGACTGTCCCCCAAAGAACATGTTCCAACACTTCCCCGGCCCACCACCGCCATGTCCCCAACACGTCGATGAATAACCTCCGATCAGACCCCGGCCGGATAGTACTACTGCAAGAACCCCCAGTGTGAGGTGGTTTATATGGAACCCACCTAAAAGACATCTTGGGGTCTGTGCCATCGAGCCTCTGAAACCACTGTAGGGATCCAAAGGTCTTAGTCTAACTGTAGTTGTCCTTTCTTGTCCCTTGCCTCCGGTCGACTCCCAGAAAGGTCTTAGTCTGTTGGAGTCCCAACAAAAAACAGCCGTGGACCACGTCCCAGGGTCGCTGTCACTCACCTCATCGCCTGGGTGTTCCGCACTGCTTTCAACTCAGCCAGTTCCCTGCAGTGGGATCGCTCGGCGTCGACGACACGAAGAAGCGAAGTCGGCAGTTTTCAGGGGCCGAAGACGTCGACTGTGTGGGGTCTCTTGATGCCTAACCTAATAGCAATGGCCTCCACCCTAGTAGCAATGGCCTCCACCCTAGTAGCA